TGGAGAATTACAATCTGTTGGATTAAGAGTCCTTCAAGTTCTTGAAGGCCTTTATAAATCTTATGTGGTGAAATCCTTGTCTAAGTATTGTCAAGGCATCTGCCTGACCTTCATCTTTGATATAGTGAAATTCTTCACTGAGTCCAACGACTTTAAGAATGTTTCTAGCAGGAAGTTTCAGAATTTTATATATATATCAATCAATTACTTTGACATTGTTTTCCCTCTAGACTCTCGGGCATCCTTGTCAGAATATATGATTTCTCTGAGAGGAACTGAACAGTCACAGAATTTACTCGAAAAAGTTATCTTTCGACATATTAGCACAAAAGATATACTGACCTATGGACAAATTGGGAGGGCTGTGATGATTTTGCTTGGGTCAGGCAGGCACAAAATTGACCTTTATGAGATGATTGTTGAAAGGATCCCCAAAAACTCGTCTTGGAAAGAATTCGTTGAGATTCTCTGGGGGAACACGGAGTCAGAGTCAGATTTGCTGATTCAAAAGTTCCACCATGCTTTGCAAGAAACTTATACAGCCAACTGGAGGGTAGAGGACTATATATCACCTAATTGTTACTTGTATCTTATGGAGCGCCTTGTTATTTTGGCATCTCATTACCGCAGTTCGTTCCTCACTACAAAATCATCATTTGTGGAATGGTTAGTATATCAACAATCTCGTGGCATCCCAAGTTCTAGTTTAGTCACTGACAAGCAACCCTATTCAAGAATTGTCTTTGATTCTGTTATTAGTGTGGTCCGGCAGTTCCTTTGTAATGTTCATGATACAACAGAATGGATTAGAAATTCTAGAATTAATTACAATTACTATTATCCGGTGCTAGTGTTGAGGTTGTTTGTTATACTGTGCTTGCTGTGTCTTAACTCCGGAATGTATTCCAATGTATTTTTTGAGCTTCTGAGTCTATCTCACATCAGAGCCCAGCTTCCAAGAGAATTCTGTGAAGCTCTTCGAAAGGAAAGGAAGAATGGTGATGTGAATTTATATGCAGTTGCTAGAGCATTCAAATCAATTGGGGATCCTGTTGTCATTGTCACCTGGGGAGAAAATGATCGGAAATTTTTCTGTCCTGATGCCATTATTCTTGACATGAGTGTTTATCGGAGCAAAAAAGACATCATTGAAGTTTTGTTTCCGAGCAGCAGAAAAACTTCTCATGGACAAATCACTTCGGTTGAAGAAAATAAAATTAAATCAAGCATTGAACTTCCTGCTAGCAGTGGCAATCATGGCAAGACTTCTATGTCGCCAATTTTGAATATGGAATCGAAAACAGATCGGAACTTGAGTACAGGGAATGGAAAAGATGGGCTGCAGATGAATTGGGGAGTTCTTCGGGAAATATCTGATATATTGAATTCTGTGGAAAATAGAGAAGATGGAACTCTGAAGATCCTTGCAATGGAAAAGAAGGTAATTTTATATTGGTTATCTTGTGGCAACTTCTGAACTTATTCGTGATCATTAGAATAATTGTTTTCTTTTTCTTCAGGTACAAGTGGAGGAGATTATTAACATCTTAGCCACTGAAATGATCCATATCTCTGATGAGAAATCTCCTGCTGGTGAAGATAATAACACGCTGGGTGAAGCCATCAACGCAATTGAGGAACTGAAGCAGATTTCTTCTTTGATCACAAGGTTAGTCTTTGTGGGACCTATTTGCTAACAATCTGGCAACCGAATGGCATTAACTTGCCGAATCAAGTTTCTAAGTAGAATTGAGGAATCATTTCTTGTTCTTGACCTTTTGACTGCTGATAATAGCGTGTTATCTCTCTTTCTTGATAATCGGATTGTAACCATGGCTTACTCTTTTAATATTATGATATAACTCTACCCTCTTGAGGATCAAATATTGCCCCTTCTGACATTAGGAGTGCTTTGGCAATCTTGGAAATTAGTCTTATTGCTGTTCCTGTTTTATCAAAAGAAAGTGAAGTGTGAAAAGTCTTATTCTTAAGAATGTTTTGGGGTTATTGCATTTGGAGAATGTCATATTTGTATCTTTTACTTGAATGACGTGTTTTTTAAATAATCTCCAGTGACTTGGAAGAGAAAGAGACTTTGAAGATTGAAGAACTTTTGAAAAGCTTGGAGTCAAGAAGGCCTAAACTCGATAGATATCTTAGTCGATTTGTTGTGCAGAATGATACAAAAGAAAAAAATCCAAGTGTTGTATGTTGTGATGGGGAAATTTCTAACAGTAATAGTACCGAAGACGGCATGGAAAATTTACCCATCACAGTTGCTCCCGAAACACAAAGTAAGCCGGACCAGGTCAGTGAAGGCAAGCAAGGAAAAGGAAAGG